AAGTAGCCTGTGGCCCTCTCCGTGCACGGGGCAGCGTCCTCTGGGGCGGGCGGTGGATGTTGGGGCGGGTGACTGGCGTGGCATCGCCCCCGCCGCAGGGCACTGGAGGGCATGTTCCGCAAGCTGAACCACCTCCTGGAGCGCCTGCACCAGTCCTTCTTCCTCTACCTGCTGCCCGCCCTCTCCCACTTCGTCTCCATCGGCCTCTACATGCCCGCTGCTGGCTTCTTGCTCCTTGTCCTCGGTCTCAAGATATCCTACGTCCCTCTCTGTTCACTTGTGCCCCACCTGAGGTCCCCTCCACTCTGGGCCAGGGCTCGTCTTCCATCTTGCTCCAGGGGCGGGGGGTTGGGGGTGAGCCCTGGGTCCCTCGCTTGGCAAGACTCATCCCAGCTCTTATCACAATCCTTAACTGGGCCACGCTCTGGAGCTGTGGATGAAGCTGCATGAGGCTGGAGTCAGCCCTGAGGAGGCCACAGTGGGTTCTGGACCTGGCTCCCTCCTGCCCCCAGCACAGGTGATGGCACTCCCTCCTGCACCTGGGTGGGTGTCTGGGGTCTTGAGTGATGCCTGCTGCTGCCACTCAGCCTCAGCTGGCGTGGCGGCAGGGTCCTTGGGCTGCTCTGGCCCTAGGCCTGTGTCCATGTCCTCCGTGCCCTGCAGGGTGTGGGGCTGGCCTCGCTCGTGGCTCCCCTGCTGATCTCACAGGCCGTGGGCCTGGCTCTCTACGTCCTTCCTGTGATGGGCCAGCACGTGGCCACCCAGCACTTCCCAGTGGCCGAGGCTGAGGCCGTGGTGCTGACACTGCTGGCCATCTATGTGGCCGGCCTAGCCCTTCCACACAGCACTCACCGGTGAGAGGCTGAGCTGGCTGGGCAGGTGGGACTGGGTTGCCCAGACATGTGGGTCGCCCCTGGCTGTTTCTCAGCCCCTTGCCTTTCAGGGTGGTGAGTGTGCAGGCCCCAGACAGGGGTTGGATGGCGCTAAAGCTGGTAGCCCTGATCTACCTGGCACTACAGCTGGGCTGCATTGCCCTCACTAACTTCTCACTGGGCTTCCTACTGGCCGCAACCATGGTCCCTGCCGCCGCGCTCACTGAGCCCCGTGGACCCCGGTATGTGCCCCTCACCGCAGAGCCCGCCCTCGTTCGGGGCTCTTGCCCCCACTTGGGACCTGCTCTCACACTGTCCTCCACCCAGGCCGCTCTATGCTGCCTTCCTGGTGCTGACGAGCCCTGCGGTCACGCTCCTGGGCAGCCTATTTCTGTGGCGGGAGCTGCAGGAGGCACCACTGTCGCTGGCCGAGGGCTGGCAGCTCTTCCTGGCGGCACTGGCCCAGGGCGTGCTGGAGCACTACACCTACGGCGCCCTGCTCTTCCCGCTGCTGGCCCTCGGCCTCTACCCCTGCTGGCTGCTCTTCTGGAATGTGCTCTTCTGGAAGTGAGGCTGGGGCTGCAGGCTAGGCTGGCAGGAACCTCAGGAACCCTGTCCTGCCCCTTCTGGGAAATAAACAAGTGTCTGTCTCAGCTGTTTCTGGGCTCCTGGCCCGTGGTTCATATGGGGCCCCAGGGTGTGGAGCAAGCATCCCTGGAGGACTGCCCTGGCCACTGACCAGATGGCCTCTCTGCGAGCCCACCCTGGCCTGAGTGCACATCTCAGCCCCACAGAGCCCCTTTTGGGCGCAGGCTCTGTGTGTTGCTGCCCAGGGCCAGCTGTGGTACTGGCCAAGAGGCCACAGGCCAAGGTTTGGGAGCCAATATGGGAGCTGAGCACTCGGGGTCTCCAGGCCATCTCTTATTACTGGAGCTGAAGGCAGAGGGCCATGGGGCTAGCCAAGGCCAGACCCTTGGTGTGGGCTCGGGACAGCTGGGAGGAGTGCTGGCCCTACTTGCCTGGATTGGGACCTGCTCAGGTGAAGTGCCCACGAGGGGCAGGGCAGGCAGCACAGGGGCCTCTGGTCTGCTCATTCCTCAAGCCGAGACTTATGGCGGTTCTCTCTGATGGCACTTTCTCTGAGGCCTCCCCCTGCCCTGATCTGTGCCCCTTGGAGCACCTCCCCACAGGGGAACTAGCCTGTGGACCTCCTGCCTTCCAGGACCCAAAGCCTGCTTGGCCAGGTCTCTGACAGCTGCCCCTTGAAGTGTCCTGGCAGGGGTGGCCTTTCAGCCGGCTTTCACTAGACCCAGTCCAAGCTCAAGAGAGACCTTGGTCCTGGCACATGCTTGAGAGAAAGGGGAAGGCCAGCCCACTTGTGTTCTGAGCGCCTCTGCAGGATCCCCCATTTCATACAAGGGGCAAAGGGGTCAGGGCAGCCAGTGGCCTGGCGGTTAGGGCAGCAGCATCCCAGCGCCCTTAGCCACCACTGCAGCCCAGGTCCCAACCCTGGCAGCCCAAGAGACAGAGGCACATGTGCACGTGTGTGCGTGCCCAGGACCCTGAGGGGAGTGGAGGGGAAGGGTGTGGCATGGCCACTGAGCACGCCTGTCCCCCGAGCAGGCCGTTTTTACTCTCTTCCGTCTCTGCTGAATGCTTGTGCCTTCTAGCAATTTTTTAATGAGAGGGAAGAACAGAATCTTGGGGACCTGGCTCTGTACACAGTAGTTAAGTTCTGATCCCACCTGACCAATCGCAGTGTGAATCTTGGTCCTGGAGGCATCAAAATCCCGGCGTGCATGTGTGCTCAGAGCCCTAGTGGGACAGAGAAATGCCGGAGCAGAGGCTGGGCATGACCATACTCCACCGCGGTTGTTCGTTTTCTCTCTCAAGCGCACAATGCCCTCAGGCAGTAAGAAAGCATTTCTAGTGAAAAAAATAAAGGGGACCTTGAGGGTAACAAAAACCTGTTCTTTGGGGAAGCCTGACTTTTTTTTTTTTTGAGAGGTTTTCACTATAGGTCACGTGCGTGTGCTCGCCAGACAGAGAGGCAGAAAGCGAGAAATCACCCCCCAGTGGGGACGGCCATGCCGCAATCCCTTCTCCATTCTCCTC